CACCCCCCCGGCTGCTCGGCCCCAGGCGTCCCCAAGTCAGCTGCTGCTGAAACTGACCAGCGGCTGACTCCGAGAAGCCCGGGGCAGAGCAGCTCTGCCTCGGGCTTCCCGGAGTCAGCCGCTGGTCAGTTGGGGCAGCGCTACTGGACCTACCCGGCAGCACTCCAGCTGTTCTGCCCCCTGCTTCCCGGATTCAGCGCTGGTCAGTTTTAGCAGCGGCTGAATCCGGGAAGCTGGGGGCAGAGCAGCTCCAATGGTCTGGCTGCCCGGAGCACTTCTGGGTTCCTGATGGTGCTGGACCATCAGATGCCGCACCAATGGAGTTTTACTGTATTTAGATACTTGAGAGCTGCAAGACACACCACCTGTCTCACAGGGCAGCACCTGTTGGGGTATAGAGATAAAGCAGTTAGACCCCTCTCCTCACTGGGCAGAGTCCCCTGGTCCCATCATCCCACCACAGGGCAAACCCCCCCCAACTCCTCCCTCCCAGTCTGACAGGCAGGAAATGGGGAGGGGGAAGGCCATGAGGGGCACTGTGAGCCACACTCTAACTGTTAAAGAGCCTCAGTTGGGCTACACCTGCTATCAGTCAATCAGATATTACTATGTTCAGGTCTCTCTATCCTGGCCTTTCCTCCTACTCTCTGCTTCTCTAACTTTGCAACTGTGACAGATGATAATCTTTTATACTTGTCCCTCTTATTCTTCCCTTTAGTTCTAACTGCATGTTTTTGGACAGGAGCCCAGATGAGATCATTTACCAGATAGCATTCTGAATGTGCAATTACATTTTGAAAGTACCAAGGATTTTGAGTGCCTATGTTTTTGATATGTTGGGCCTTTCCCCCCCAAAGATGCTAGCCCCTATAAGTCCATGTCATTTTAATGGAAACTGTAGGAGATTAGTGTCTCTGAAAATCAGGCCCAAATTGTCTCAGAAGTTAGGTAATAAAAACAGTATCTAGTTCTGAAAAAAATGGGACATTAAGATTCAGTTTTTAAGTGTTAGTTTTCAAATATATCTATGAGAGAATATAAACAACCTTCACTGAGAATTTCCAAACTTTTGACAATTTAAACTGAATTCTAACGCTTCCATAAAACTGGTTTTTGTTAGTGTGAAATAACTTTGCAATATTAAAAATAACAAGGTTCTCCTTGTACGAACACATATGATGATACAGTCGGGAAATTATCAAAACTGCTATATTTCATTTGCTATCTGTTTATTTTTTTAACACAGATCAGGTATAAAGGAGAACAGAATTCTTGAAATTCTGTATGTTTATACTGACTGGTGATAGCTGCAGTTTAAACAATCACCTTAGGAGGAAATCTGTTTTGAATCTTTAGGGATGCAAAGAAGTTCAGACAGTTTGGAGGTTTATTTTTACACAGGAAATTACCATTTTACAGGATGATATTGAATATCGTGAACCTTAACTGCTGGATAATTCTCCATTCATTGAGGATATAGAAAAATATAACACTGCTTTGCCAGTCCATAATTCTATGTGAAAATGATCCCAAAATGTTTCAAAGATATAAAGTCAGACAGAAAAAGTGGCATAATAGCTAAAAAGGGGCAATAGGGAGAATACCACCTGTAATTAATATACCAAGTTGCAATAATCACAGCTGAGATATTACTGACACAATCAAAAGTTTTTCCAATATATTAAACGTACTCAGACATTTTTTACAACGTTTTAGGAGCAAATTTTTGGCACTGACTATGGGGAATTTGCCATTTCACTTCTTATAATAAAATATTGGTTGGTGCTGTGCTGTGACAATTGTATTCCCTCAAGTGTGAGAAGGTTGCAGAACATAGATCAGGGGCCTGCAAGGACTATAATGTAGGCTCTATTGGAGTTGCCACCTACACAAAATGATACTTTCCCTTCAGGCTGAAGCTATTAAGGAGACTAGAACTGTAAAGCATTGAACACTGTGCTGAGTATCTGCCTTTCATTTGTTATACAACCCAAGAGCTTAATTAATCTTCCTCAGACTTCACTGCAGGCTTTAAACATTCTTTCCAAAATCTACCAAGATTTTCTTAAAAATTTTAGCCTCATGCTTGCTAATGTTTTTCCATTCCCTGCTGATTAATGATTTTATTTTTTCTGTTCTTCCTAAAAACAGATGAGACCAACCTTAAACTGAATTTACAAAACTTAATGTGGATGCTTTTATTGTACCGAAATACTTATTTTATTATGAGTTAGCAGAAGATTGGAATAATTCCTGGACTAATGTATATGGCATACACAATAATCAGTACATTTTAGCACTAAGATAACTAGCCAAGTTAAGGTCAAGATTTTGCAGCCTTTTGTGAAAATAGACACCATTAATTTCTACAATTATTCCAAATGCATAACCATGTAACTGAATATTGAATTTGGGCCAGAATTACCATCCTACACATCTTCACCTGAAAATTTGGAAGGCTCTTCTCTCTCACAAACTGTGAAATGCATGTAATAAAAATTGATCCCTAACCCAAACAGTTCATTCTGTTGAAAGAACCCTAAAAACAAATACTAAGAATTGCCAGGGGAGGAAGAGGAAGGAATCAAATAGACATTCAATATGCATTTTTTATCTCATTTAGTCCAATACCCAGCATTAAATAACTATTTTCAGCTGGAATGTAGTAGTTGAAGGGTAGGTTACAACACTGCCAACACTAAGAGTATGTCTGTTCAGCCTGGATCAACAGACCTAGGTTTGTAGGGCTCACCCTTGCACTCTAAAAATATCTGTATAAACAGCAATTTGAAGTTGAGGGTCAGGCTCTGATGACAAGGACAAGGATAGGGTGTCAGACTCAAAGTACTGTCTACACAGCTGTTTTTAGAGCGCTAATATGAGTCCCAAGTTTCTTGACTGGGGTTACTCCTGTAGGCTGCATAGATTTACCCCAAATGCTCAAAAATCATGAAATTAGGATAAAATAATAATTTTTTTTCAAAAAAATACACACTCCCTTCCTTTTATTTGTCTTCTGGTTTTTGAGCCTTGAGGGTGCACTCAAGTCATATTTCATAGTTGAAGAGAAAAGCTTGAAAATTTGAAAGCATGAAACTTACTTTTTTGAAAATGAAAGCTGAGATTCCCATGAAAGCACATGACTCCTGGAGTTGGGGCTTTAAGAATAACACCTAATATTGTGAGACTTGTAAATAATTGTAAAAGTTGGCAACTTTGTATATTTGAGAGATTTATTATTTGTATTGTGTATATTTGTATATTGTATAGTTCCTAGGAGCCTCAGTCATGGTCAGGACTCCAGAAGTTAGAAGTTGAACAAACAGAATAAAAAGATAGTCATTGCCCCCAAAGAGTTTGTTGTGTGACCAGTTGTTCTAATGCACATGACACTCAGTTTTGGTGCAAGGCCTATTAAAAATATTGTTTTTCTTGCACCAAAAGTTGACATTCCTCTTTCTTTAAACACCTACATCAGTAGTAAAGGCTGTCTCAACAGAGGCAAATCTACTTGCCAGAGATTCTTGATTCCATTAGTTATTAACATATTCTCAGTTCATTCACCAGAATGTAAACAGTTCTAAACATTGGTCTGATGGTCTAGCCCTGATAAGGAATGTAAATATAACTTGGATCTGCAGAGGGAGGAGAATAAAAAATGTTATCAAGTCACACATGATTAGGTTGGTATGTCATAGTAACTCACAACAGTGCCCACTGAACAGCAATACTAAGGATTTTGCTCTTCTACTTACTGTTCCATCATGAGTACAGCTGGTTGAGCATTCAAAGTGAACTATTTAGTCAACAGATTTAGCCCCTTTTTCCTCATTTGCAAATTACAGGCAGTCCCTGGGTTACGTACAAGATAGGGACTGTAGGTTTGTTCTTAAATTGAATCTATATGTAAGTCGGAACTGGCGTCCAGATTCAGCCGCTGCTGAAACTGATCAGTTTCAACAGCGGCTGCTGCAGCCCTCTGTGGAACTCACAGAGGATGAGTCTTTAGAAAAGAAACTCATTTGTAGTAGTACCAGGGGGAGGGAACTAGCTGAATATCTTCTTGGTGCATGGTGCACCGAACTCCTTCAGGTACAGGCAGTCCCTGGGTTACGTCAGTTTCAGCAGCGGCTGACTTGGGGACATCTGGGGCAGAGCAGCTGGAGTCCTGCTGGGTTGCTCCAGTAGCGCGGCTCCTCGGCACTACTGGAGCAACCCAGCAGCACCCCAGCTGCTCTGCCCCAGGCGTCCCCAAGACGTAACTCGGGGACTGCCTGTATCTGACCAAACTGTGTGTTTTCCTGAATTAATTAGATACTTGCATTTGTTCAATTGCAGATACCAAATGGAGATGTCAGTGGAGTTCCACCACTGATCAGATGATCTGAATTTTTATGTGAACAAATGGACTATACATTGCTAATGCGGGAGTGCTGGAACAATTTTTACAATGGGGATGCTGAGAATCACTGAAGTAAATTGTAAATCCTGTTTACATTAATCTGAAGTGGGTTTTACCCACAAAAGCTTATGTCCTGATAAATCTGTTAGTCTGTAAGGTGACACAGGACTCCTTGTTGTTTTTGTAAACCCTGTATATAATGGAAACCACTTCAAGCCAAGGGGCTCTGCAGCATCTTCTGCACCTCTGATTCCAGAATCTATGTGCTAATGAAGGGATTATTGCAAGTATTCATTTGCCAATCACCACTATGTGAATGGTCACCGAAATAACAAGGTATTGTAGTATAGCCTCGGGGCAGCTCTAATCTTCATTGGCTGTGGCTGGCCACTGGCATGTTTCCTGTGCTCAGGAGTTGGAAGTGGTGACACTAGAGCCACTCATTCAAATAGGGCACATAACCTTCCATCAAGATTCTGTGAGGGGCTAGTGTAAATAGATAAAGAGGTAGGCAGTGGACTGATAGGCTATGTCTGCATTGCAGGCTTTTTGTGCAAGAAAAGCCGTTCTTACGCAAAAACTTGCCAAGTGTCTACATGCTCCGTACGCGCACTCACAGCTCCTTACTTCCTGGCTGCCAAACCTCCCCTGAAAGCCACATGCAGCCTGCAGATACCGCGTGGCAGCAGCACCTCAGCCAGTCGCTCCACCACACGGCTCTGCACTGCTACACCCAGGAGCCCAGATGTCTGCTCCACAGACACCCCGTGAGCCTGCACCTTCCTCCCAGCACCCACTCCACTCCAGGGCTCCCAGCAGGCCCGGAGGGGAACCAAGTGACATGCCCCTTGCTGGTCCCGGGCTGAGGTGGAGGTCCTGTTGGGCCTGTGGACAGAAGAGGAAGCCCTCCATGGCTCCCTTGCCTGTTGCCACAACACAGACATTTTCAGCTGCATGGCCCAGGCGCTGTTGGACCAGGGACATCCAGCCTGGACTGTTGAACAGGTCCGGGTCAAGGAGTTGCGCCTGGGCTATGTCCGGGCCACCAAGGGCGAAGGTGAGGGCACAGGAGCTGACACCTGCCCCCACTATGACCACCTCCACTCCATCATCAGTGAGACAGCAGTCTCAGGGCCCTCAGTGCCAGTGGACACCAGCCTTCACCCCCTAGTGACAAGGCCACCTGACGCGTAGGAGGAGGGTGACTTGCCTTCCAGGTCTGAGGATAAGGGTGATGACCACAGCAGCACCGTCACCCTGCACCTGGAGCCAGTGCTTAGCAGCCTCCTGGGCTTCATCTGAGGCTGGCAACGGCTCCTCCGGTGAGTGTTATGCTTCTCCCTCTCAAGGCGGGGGGAGGTGAGTGCTCAAGGGGAAAGAGGAGGGAGTGTCACTCAGGCAGTTCAAGCTGCACATCGTGCAGCAGTACGCAGCACGTGCAACCTAGTATGGCCTGACTGTGTGGCATGTGGACGTGGCAGGCAATTCCAGAGCATGCCTGGGACCTTGCTGCTCACCCACATCCTGCCCGGGAGAGTGAGGGGGGATGCCGACTGGAAGCAGGCAAGGCCCCAAGAGCTCAGGCCAGACCCCACACCTCCCGAAGAGTGCCACACACAGACAGCACGCAGCCATGCCTGGCCATGCAACACAGCATCTGTTCCTGGGAAAAACGCAGCGAGCCAGCCCTGTGAGCATGGACCCCAGGGAGTCCCTCGGCTGCTCCCGACCCCTAGGTTGCTGTAGGGGTTCCCCCCTTGTGCGGGGGGGCTTACGTCCGCCCCCCTCAGTCTCCCAGTCGTTAGTGCCTCGATGTGACCGCTTTCACTCGGTTCCGTTAGGCGGTTGGGGGAAGGGGGTCCGGGCCCGCCCTCGCTCCGGACCCCGACCCAGGGCCCTAAGGTCAGGGAAAGACTCCCCACCTACCGGGGGGGTCGAGCCCCCTAAACTCCCCTGCTCTCAGGGTCCGCGTCCCCGCCCTGGGCCACTTCTTCCCCCAGGTCCAATTGTCTCACCTGGGCTCCCACTCTGGTCCTGCCCAGGGCCTCCAGTACCCGCGTCCGTCCACCGGCTCCCCCGGGGGACGC